TCAACAAAGAATCGGATTGGTCTTGTATGATCAAATCGATCAATCAGATGTTTTGTTGAGCTCATTGAATTAATACATGTTTGAGAACACCATAGAAATCAGTTTTATTTTTAGCATACAGAAACATTTAGTAATTCTTGTAAACTTTGATAATAAGACTGAGTAAAGCGAGATCCAAATATAAAAATTTAAAAATTGTAAAGTTAAGCTTAAAAGAATGATACTAAACATGAAAAATGTAAAGCTGAATTTGAAAATCGAAACAGAAAGTTATATGAAAAAAATTGTTTGAGAATCTAAAACTACTGATTTCAATTTATACGTATACGTTTATGGTTATTTCCAAACTAGCCTTATATATTTGAATTCTTTAAAAAGAAATTATAATGATTAGTGAACGTTATTTGAAATATATTTAAAAGATATCGGCCGAGCGACGTGAGGTCGAAACATAAAAAATGTAAAGCTAAGGCTGAATGAAGCAAGGTTAAAGAAAATAAATAGGAACGCCACTTTAAAATATAGCATTAAAAAAAAAGTATAGTACAGTCAACCCCCTCTATATCACCTCCTCTAAAGTCACCAAATTAATATAATTACAAATTTATTTTTACCAATTATTTATAACTATATAGAAAATACCTCTATATTAGTCACACCTCTTTATAATCACGGTTTCTTGTATCCCAAAGGTGTGACTATAGAGGGGTTTGACTGTATAGCGTTTGGTTTAAAATAAGGCGAACAAGCAAGGATAAAAGCTATATAAAAAAACTACATTTTTACGTTCTGTTCAAAACTAACATTATTTGTATTGAACTTTTTATATAGAGTTTTGATTTCGATGACTTATGTATCTAATTAGTTGGTGGCGAAGTCACTACATGATCGTGTGCTAGTTTAATGTAAATGCAATATAATGTAAATGCAATAATTATAAAATCATAAATGAAATCCAATTTACCAAACTTGTATGAGTAACAGTTTGCACGCGAACATAGGATGTGCTTCGTGTGGAATAGTGAAATAGACTACTATTATTTTTATATCAGGGACGTGGTTTTAAGAGAGTAAAACGAAGCGGAAAGGGATGATGTTCTTAAATTTGGTTGGTCAACGTGATCAGTAGATCTTTCCTTTTCTATTTTTTGTTTTTTTTTTGGTTCAGTTTTTTGCATCGAAATGGTGATAGATCGTGAACACATAAATATACATACAGTATATGTATGAATGCTAAAATCAGGCTATTATAGATATTTATTTTATTCGTAATGACGCTAAATTAGGATGCTAGAATAAGATACTTAACGCTAAATTAGGATGCTAGAATAAGATACTTAACGCTAAATTAGGATGCTAGAATAAGATATTTCGTAGATGAAATCGATCTATAAGAACGAACGCATTTTCAATCTTCGACCAAACATGCATAGTTTATTTATTAATATGTAGTATACATATTACAATTTCATTTACATACGAATTATATACGTATGTACGGAATGTACGTGCAATTATCGTTATATTTGATGGAGTATACAAGAATAATTAATAAAGTATGTATGATAAAAATTAAGATAGTATGTATGATAAAAATTAAGATAGTCACTTATGAGATTGAAATTATGCACGTATATTGCTTTATGATGTAATATGTTTAGAATAATGCATTAATGTTGATGCTAAAAAGAAATTACAACTAAGTTATTAACTTTTCGAAACTTAAAACAATAAACTAAGTTATTAACTTTTCGAAAATTTAAAAAACAATATTGTATAGTTCCTTAATTCCTACAAATTATTCATTGAGTGTAGAATACTCTTTATTTCTAGAAGTTTTAGTAGGAAAGACATGAAATTTTCTACATTTATCTACGAGTAACTCAACTATTTCTTCAACCTTATAAGCAGGATTTTTGATAGCTCCATGGGCTAATTCGGTAAGTCTTTTAGCATCTTTCTCCGAAACTTTATCCATTATACTATCCTCTTCGGCCAAATTCAATTGAATCCGGTAATATAATGTGTCGTCAAGATCAGCCAAAAGTTTCATAGTATTGTCATGATTATCGAGCTCAGAATTGAATAAAAGATTAATCAATGGTTTTAACCACTGAACAACACCACAGTCTTTATAATGTTCTAAAGGCTCTTTATGATAACCAGTACCAAGAGAAACCACAACAAACTTCGAGTTTGGATACTTTTTTTTAGCTTCAAGATAAGCTTTAACGGTTGGATTATTCGAAAAAACACCACCGTCTATGAAATAATCATCATTTATTTTTTTTGCAGGAAAATAAGTAGGAGCAGAAGCACTTGCACGTATAACATCTTTCATGTAATGCTCTTTAAATTTGGGGTCATAATTTGTAAAAAGAGTATATTCACATTTGGAGATATTATAAGCAGGAATGATTACGATCACACCATTTACAGTGTCCTCGAGTTTATTATGATTGAAATTTTTGTCTAATAATTCTTCAAATCCCTTAGATGGATATCTCGGCATCCAAGGATTAAAAGAACTTATTAAATTTGAAAAATGCTCCCACGTGCTATAATGTTGATCTTTATTAACAATAGTAGTAGTTTTTTCTTCGGCTTCAATAGTGATTTTATCTTCAGGTATAGCAACGATTGTATCTTGAGATCTCTCATTGACTATGTGCTTAGTTGTAATTTCAGGCGTAGCATTGATTATATCATCTGATTTAGCATTGGTTGTTTCTTCGGATATTAAAATTTCTGGAGTATCATCAGGTTTATTCTTGCCTTTTTTATTAATTCTAAGCTTGGCTAAAAATTCATTTGTAATCTCGGCTTCATTCTTTATTTCTGGAGTATCATCAGGTTTATCATTGATTGTATCATCAGGTTTATTCTTTCCTTTTTTCTTAATTCTAAGCTTGGTTATAAATTCATTTGTAATCTCGACTTCATTCTTTTTTTTTCTTTTTTTTTTTAAAACCGTTGAAGCCCTAACTATTCTAACTATTTTT